CAATGTTTTATAATGGTGAAAAATTTAAACTCTATTATATTATGCCAAACCTATCTTGAAATTCAGCAGTTCCACTCCCAGATATATACCTGGTCTTCAGAAATTCTTTCTAAGAATGAGCTTAGGTCCCAGCCACATTTTCCACAACAGAAAAAAATATATAAATAGCCATCAAGTAAACTGGAGCTACATGATCTATGATGGCCATGAAAATGACACAACCTGCAGTGTGAGTGACAAAACACAACTGTGAGTAAAAAAAGCAAATCACAAAGATAGATAATTAACAGTCACAGATTTTTTAAAAAGACAAGTAAAATTATATTAATAAAACATTGTTCAGGGACTTGCACAAATGTAACCTGTGAAATGAAGCAAAAGAACTGTAAAACTTGCAGATTAGCAGCTAAGCAGATGCCAACCTGAACCAAGCAGCAGCACTTAAGTGACTTTGACAGGTTAGTGCTGCATCTATAGTGTAACTTCGTTAGTGGTTTTCATGCTTCAAAACTGAACCTGGATGCTATATTCTTTTATATCTCAGAACTCAAAATAGGGAAGGAGTACCTTCCAACCATGCCTCAGCAAAAACAAATTAGGCCTTATTATAGTTTGTATCTAGATGTTCCCCCAAAGCCTCATGGGTTCACAGGTGGGGCTTTTCAGAGATGGTTCCATTTGGGGAGTACAAATATGGATTAAGGGTGTGGGATCAAATCAGTGCACTGATTGGTTGGGCCGAGTTCTGGGTGTGGATAGTGCCAGGCACCACCCAGGAGGCTTGAACCTGGGATGCAACAAATAGCTGCTGCTGCTGCCTAACAACCCTTCTAAGAACTGTTTCTCTTCTGCGATGTCCCTCTGCATGACACCCTGAGTTGAAATCAGACAGCAGAGACTGAAATCTTTATAAACTATGAGCTACAATAAACTCTGCCTGCCTCCTTTCTACCTCTGAGTCTTGGGTATTCTGTCTCAACAACAACAAAGTAACAAAGACATGTTTCAAGATAATTATCCATTATTCTTTATTACTATTCAGATGTCCACCAGTCTATGTTTCCTTTATTAGTCCACCCTGGCTGTACTGTACTTACAAATTTGAAACAGGAGGTTGTTTATTTGTTTGTTTTATAAAAGTAACATAGTATTTATACCGTGTGTTTCCCAAAGTTCTGTTGGGAATCTGGAGCAGCATCCTGAAATCAAGTGCATGAATGTTTCTCCAATGAAAGCTATTACTATCTACACCAAGAGAGACGCAGGGCCTAAACATTCTAACATCAGATCAGGTCAAATGTCACCAAGGAAACCTTAGCAAAAACTTGGTTTTCAGTTTATACATTGTATAAACTGAAATTGATGTATAAATTTTATATATCACATTTGTAAACAAGGAACCCTAGACCAGCAAAGAAACTCAACTTTATCTAAACAGTAAACCTTATGTATCACTTTAATTCATTTTCAAGATTTTCTATCAAAATGAAAGCTTTACCAGGTGTTGTGGCACCTGTAATCACTACACACAGGAGAACTGCTGAGCATTTGAGGCTAGCCTGGGCTACAAAGTGAGTTCAAATCCAAATCCAACCTGAACTGCATAGTGAAACCTTGTCTCAAAAAAGATGAAAAAGAGAGAGACAAATGTAAAATTTAAAATAAACTAATCCATAAGCTATAAATGTCCAACCCTTATTTCATCAAAGAAACACATATATGGGGCTGGGGATTTAGCTCAGCGACATAAGCGCCCACCTTGCAAGCAGGCAGTCGTGAGTTCGATCCCTGGTACTGATAAAAAAAAAAAAAAAAGAAACACATATATAAAACAATTTTCAACTTTTATTCTACTTCATTTTTATTGTCTCTTCATAATATTCTCATTTACTGTATATAGAGAGAAACTAATCATTTTAATTAGACAAACAGCCAACACCAAGCTTAAAGGAAAACCTATGTACTGTGGTAAGAAATATCATATGGTCTATGGATATAGTGACAGCACTCAAATTTTCTAAACCAGTGAAAATGGTATATCAATGTTTAATCACCTTTACTCACCCACACAAGTCTTAAGTAACAGTTTACCTAAATCCTACAGATAGATGACTGGTTTACTGTTGTAAAAAGTAAAGTAAGTCAAAATCCAGAAGCACAGACATTAGAAAGCCACTTCTCCAGCATAATGTTAAAACACAATTCTTTTTACCATAATAGGCTAGCACTGTGAAGATCAAGTCTTGACAACACAGTATAGGTACTTCCCTAAAGGTTTGAAGCACTGTAAAAGTGGATCTCCATAGCCCCTCTGCTCCACCCGAGTATTATGGAAGCAAATCTTTCTCAAAACCATTTTTACATTGTATCAAGCAGTTCACAATTGATACATTCTCTTCTGATTAATTTAAGCACCCATGAAATAATCAAGGCTTCTGCAGAGTAAAAAGGTAATTTGGTCTCCACATTGAGTCCCTTGGAATCCAGCTCCATTTAAGCACAGGGACTGCTAGCACTCTCATGATGGGTAAATCAAATGATAAGGACAAGCCCCCAACACTACATAACCATAAGGTTGTAAATGAAACCATTTTCTTTTTCAAAGAAAAGTTATAGCCATTAACTAAAGATACATCAAAGGCACCAAGAGATCTACATTTAAAGAGCACTCCCAGCACTCTCCCAGCACTCCATGTCCAGAGCTCAGAGCTGAGCATTTCAAGAGTTATCTGGGTAACTTTCTTCCACAAGTGGCTTGTCTTCTGGCCTGGGATACTGATAGCTTCACAGTTACTTCGGGCATGTGAATCCTTTTCCTTTGTCACTCAGGGCAGTGCAGCTCAGCGATCCTTCTCTGGGCTCCTGAAGGAAGAGAATGCTGCATGCTGTGTCCCCATTAGACTACATTCCCTAAGTTTTCTGTATTACACACAAAATATTTCCTAGAGCAAAACAAACAAAACCGATGTCCAGTAAAACAATGAGCAATTGTGAAATGCAGCTTACATGGTACAATTTCAAATCGTTAAAGTGATACCAATCATTCTTTCAACAGTATTTTAGGAAACAAAAGTTTTCATGGCATTCTTTCAAAAATTAATTTGCAAAGCTTCAGTGTGCAAAAGAGGAAAAGTTGTGGGAATGGATGGTTTGCACAGCAACATGAATGTATGTAATGCCACCCAAATGGACACTTAAAATAGCTGCCACATTAAAATTTTTATGTAATTGCTACCAATTAAAATTAATTCATTCTCCGATCTTTCACACAGTGAACTATACATAATTCAAAGTTCATTTTTTATAACTTTAAATTTTTTTTCAATTGTATAAACTTCCAAAAGAAGCACCAGAAACCTTTCTCCAAAGGCTCCCCTGAACCTGTTCTCTCTTCAGCCTGGCAAGGCCTCCTGCACTTCAAAATCACACATGCATTCACATTCAGAATGACATTCAAGCAACTACAAACAGCAGTAAAACGGTGCTGTTGAGCCAGCAACAGCGATGTCAACCTTGACACCGCTGATGTCACCTTAATAAATGTCTCTTGGTTGTCTCGAGCACTTAATAAATGGACTGGATTGTTTCCTGTGTATATGCAATGTTTTGATCTTAAAATGGTCATCTTAATAATTCAGAAAATACTAAAGCAAAATGTATGATCATATCACAAGTAGAAACAGCTTAGTTCCAAGCTGCGAATAACCCTAATAATTGTAATTAACACCACTATAAGACCCTAAGGGATGAAACTTAAGTGGAAACAAAACAATTACATCTGGAATTCAGTCTGAACTTCATGAATACTTGAGATTTATTAAGGATTGAGGTACTATTTTTAACTTAACTTTTTGGCCTTAGGTCAAAGTTTCACTAACAAAATACCAAAGTGAAAAATACAGGGAATAAGCTAGCATCAGTGTAAGCCTTCCAGGCAGCCAGTCGGATCCCCAACACTTTAACTGGAACCACAGTAAAAGCAAACACTCAACCAATGAGGAACACAGCACTTCCTCCATTTGGGTACAATTCGTCACATCGCTACACTGTGACACGACAGAGCTCGTCTCTACATTCTACACTTTGTACAGAAAGATACGGCACTCTCCAGTCAGTTCCTGTATTCTGACCAGACAGGACTGAGTCACTCTGCAAAAGATTCCAGAAACCTCAAAGGATAACCAACGGCCTCGGAAGAGAAGTCAGGCAGTGTCTTGGGAGAAGGTGGTTTTTCTCAGCTCAGTCGCTAGGTTTCTCCCAGTAGGACCCAGGACTGACCTTCGGATCTGGTTGTGGACGGTGTGCGCGCCCACCCTAACGCTAGCCTTCCAGGGCTCATGCAACAGCCAGAGGGCCCTTTCGCTCTCTTCTGTCCAAGACACAAGTCCGCACCACCTTTTCCTAGCGCTACCTCTCGGCTGCATTCTTAATCAAACTGTCTGTGAGAGCCAAAAGTCAATCCTAACAAAAGTAAGAAATGAGCCAGCACTCCGGATTGCATTTCCTTGAAAAACGCGTTTGCTTCATAATCGAGAGCCACCAGTGGCCTTTACGTGGTTTGAAATCTGGATTTCTAAGGGCGTCCCTAGGAAAGATAAGCCGCAGGGGACAGATTCATTCCTCTCCACGATTCAGACTGATATTTACTCATTTATTTATTTATGGCTCTGGCGCAACAATCTCGGGGAAAATTCAGTTTACATAAATTAAGACGCACTAACTACTAAGGAATGCTCGGAGACAACAGAAAACAGCCGAACTTCAAGAGCTCAAGATCCCCTACTAAAAGGGAGATGGTGGACGCAGAGTTTCGTCGCGCGCCCGGCTGGGCACTGCCCACGGTCATCTCGTACCCGGGCGGCGTGACACTGCGGCACCGGCTCTTCTGACTGGGGAGCAGGGCCGGGACCCAGCTTCTCCTCCCCGAACCTGCAGGTAGGTGGGAAGGAGGCGCGGGTGCTGCCCTGCCGCAAAGCGGGGGACCCCGGCCGGCCACCTACCAGCAGGCTGTCCACGTTGATGGGCGAACGCGGGTCCCGGAGTAGTGCGTCCAGCTTCCTGCGGCGGTCGGCGGCCCCGTCCCCGGGCCCGGCCTCCTCGGGGTCGCCGGGCATCTTCCCGGGCGGCGGGGCCCTGCTCATGCCGCCGCCTGGGGCCTCGCGCCGCCCCCGCGCCCCGGGGCTCGGCCCGGGCCCAGAGCCCGCCGCGGGGGCCGCGACTCGGGCCGGGTGGGGGCGCCGCTCCGAGGGCCCCGCTGGAGCTACGAGTGCGGGCGGCGTCCCCGCCCCTCCGCCCCACGCCTCGGGGCCCCCAGAGGCTGCAGCCCAGACTCCAGCGACTACAGCCGCCGCTCGACTCGCATGGTGGCCGCGGCAGCCTGCAGGCCTCGCGATGCCGCTCTCTTCACACGCGCGCCCGCTCCGCGGCCCTGCCCTGCTCGCGCGCCGCCGCTACCCAGAAGCCCCTCCGCCCGCCCCTCGCGCTAGCCCCGCCCACCGCCTGCGCGCGCACTTGGGCCCCGCCCACCACCCCTAGCTTCCGCCCTGCAGCGCCCGCCTCAGGTTCTCTTTTTTCCTGTGCGCTTCGCCGCGCTTTCTCTTCAAATCACCACCGCCGCCCCTCACATTTTGAGATCCCTGAGGGCTGTCGCGCCCACTGCGGCCGGGTCGCCCTGATTCCGCGTCGGCTTGCGGCCCTGCAGCGCCGTCCGGACCTGGCGATCGAGGGTCTCCAGGCCGCATTTGGGGTGCAAAGGCTACGCGGGAGCTGCAGCCGGGGTGTAAGGGACGCCTGCGCACTGAGGCCGGGAATTAGGGGCGCGCAGAAGCTTCCAGTGAGGTTGCTGGGCCTGCGAGAGTGGCTTCCGGCCCGCGGGGGCCAGAAATTTTAGGATTTGCAAAGAGCTCCTGCCTCGCCCCCTGGGGCTGAGGCAGAGACCGCGAGAGCAGCTGATTACTGCTCTGCGCTCGCGCCGCCGCCCCGCCCCCTCGCGGCCGGTGCCACGGGTCAGCGCCTCCGGGGCGCGAGCTGGAAAGTATGTTCAAGGGCTATAAAACTGTTCATAAAGTCCCTTTGACCCAGTATACCCCATGTAAGGAAGTGCATTTCGAAGGAAAGGCTCCACAGAGGGAAAGGGATTCGGCAAGGCTGTTGGGAAAGTTCCTAGTAATCAAAACTTGAGAATGGACCCAAATGTCCACCCATTGAATAATCCAGACCAGCACTGTCAGATTAACAGAAAAAAATCCCGTTGTGCAGACTTTGCTGAGCGCAGGAAACTTTGGTCAAGTATATGAAAAGGTGTATTGGAAGTCAAATTTAAAATGCTTAACAGCATATGAGTATTTCAAAAACAGAAAATGATACTAAAATACGTGCGCCACTCACAAGAGCTAAAATCCGTAGGTGCAAGAGTTTTAAGAATCTTTTTGGGCCGGGAGGCCGGGCATAGCTCCTGTCTGGCCGCAGGCACAAGGCCCTGAGTTTGATTCCCAATGCCAGAAATAAAGAAAGAAAGAAAAAAGAAAAATTAAAGTCGTTTTCCAAGAGGGAAGTTGTGAGTTTGATCCCTGCATTGGAATGAAACAGTTACACGTGGGTTCTTGTTCTTGGCGACAATATAATATGTACCAGAAGAGGAGCTCCATCTGCTTCTCAGGTCACAAATTAATTTTGCAATGATGGACTGTATATTTTTATGGAGTTCGGTGGAGTAACAGAACACCATGCTCCTGAGTACTATCCGGAGACGTCTCTTTAAAAAGAAGAGTGAGTGGTCAAGAAGCAAAAAACGCTTCTAGTGAGCCAGCAGCAGTCATGGGCCAGGAGAAGAAATAGAAAGTCAATTCACCATTCCCGTGAGCCAACCAGTGCTGGGCCTGGAAGACAAGAACTTGTCTCCTCCCTCCACGGCCCTGAGCAACTGGCTGACTCAAAGGAACATAGACTAAGTTGATAGCAGCCAAAGTACAAAAGCAGTTTAATGCTTGCTTGTTTGATTGACTTTATAGGCTGAAAGTCAGTAATCTGAGCATCTATTTAGAGGATAACAATATGCAACATAGCAACTATAGGGGATTTTCTTCTCTCTTAGAAAATCAATATTGTTCTCACTATTTTGCTCCATTTTATTGTTTTGTTTTATTCAATGATTTGTTTTGATTGGTTTTTTTAAAAAATGAATAAATAAATACAAAACTTAAAAAAAGGAAGAGCAGTGATCAAATTATCTGTACTAAGCACATTCTACAGAGCCATATCTATAGATTAGAAGATTTTGACCAGTTTAGACCAGTCTATCCAAAAGAAAAAAAACTAGTCCATTAATGAGTTAAACCACCTTTTTAAATTTTTTTTTCCAGTATGGCAATTTTTGTTTGACAAAAAGAATACAAAAATGTGTTCTGTAAAAGTTCCCCAAAAACCCAGAAATATGCAGACTATAACCTGAAAAATTAAGTCAAGCTTGATAGCATGTGTCTGTAATCCTAGCATTCTGGGAGGCTGAGGCAGGATAGATGAAATCAAGAATGCTAAAAGGGCTGTAAGCCAGGCATGATGGCACACACTTGTAATCCCAATACTTGGGAGGCTGAGGCAGGAGGATTGATTCAAGTTCAAGACCAAACAACCACATAGTGAGATGTCTCTAAATAAATAAATAAATAAGACAGGGCTGGGGATGTAACTCATTGTGAAGGCTCTGGGTTCAATCCCCAGCACCAAAAAAAAAAAAAATATATATATATATATATATATATATATATATCTGTGTCTCTTCTTTGTGACTCTGAGTTTAGAAGTGATTTCTGAGCCATTTCTACGTTGTCAGTTGTGGTTTAACCTCCCCTACCTAGCAGTACCTCCCTCACCCTCTGATACTTCATCACCCAAACGGCCTGCGGGCCCAAGGCTTCCTCTTTCATGGACCTGAGGCTCATGTCCTCAGTTCTGGTTTTTAATTCAAGAGGTCAGCCTCTTCCTCAGAGATTCATTCACCCTTTAGGTGCACCTCTGCTTTCTCTATCCATAGACAGCCCTGCAAAACGACTTTTTTTTTGGTCTTTCAATGTGGCCCTTATAATTACTGGTTTAATACTAATTGTCCTTTTCAGGGCTTACTCCACTGCTGGACAGCGTGCATTATAGAAATGATCCCAATTCTCAGAACAGCCTTTTGCCAATGGTAATGTTACTGTGCCCATTTTATAGATGATGTAACATTTGTAGCATCTCGGCTGTGTTGATGGAATGAATTAATGGACAGATGGATGAATGGATGGGTGGATGAAAACACAGATTGTGGCTGGTCCAGGAATCACCAATAAAACATAAGAACTGTTCCCATCTTGCTTCACACTGCGGAGCGACTCACCTGGCCTTGTAGTAAGGTGCTTTGGCCCATATAATTCGCAGTTAATAAGAGAATAAAGGAGTAGCCTCTGAGCACAAAGGCATCATTATTTTTTGTAAACTGCATTACTATAAAGGACAACATACAGTGTTTAAAGGTTAATGAAATAGTTTCGCCCTAAGTTTCATTCATACTCCTCCTAATGATGCTATGGGATAATGAAAATCACCAACCTCTGTGTGAGTCATTTTCTTCATACACAAAACAGAAATAATGGAGCTTGGTTGTCATTAACTCCCCTTAAGATCTCTGGATGAAAGATACCATCTTTGTTCAGGGCAAATTATTCAGCAGCATGCCAGGAAGGAGTTTCTCAGGAGAGAGATTGGTCAGGGCTCAGATATGCACTTATGGGAACTCACTGCGCAAATTGGTGGGGACCCATTGGAGGTGAGTGGGCCCAAGAATCATCCAGAGTCCCAAAGAGCCAAGGCGCATTCTGGTTCTGCAAATCGACAGGCTTCATGGGTGTCACAGGCGGTGGCAAGCTCATTCTCCCTGTTAGTGGGACAGAGCAGCTCTAGGATGCTCAGTGTGACCCCCTCCAAACTCAGCGTGGGGTACTGGGGATGTGCAGAGCTGGGCTTCCTCTGAGCTCAGCGTGGCCTCTCCCACACTCCCCAAAAGAATCAGGAGTCTCCTGCCTCCTGGGCTGAGCACCCCACCGCACACACACACGCACACACGCACACACACACGGTGCTTGCAGCAGGGGCCTGACCTGTTCTGTGCTGTGAACCCGCCACGGGGTTTAAGAATAAACCTGATGTGTGTTCGCAGTGAATCTCTCACCTGGCATTATGAAGAGCACTTTCCTCCTACTCGCCTGCCACACACTGCCGCCCAAGGTGACTCCAAGCTGTAGGCTTGGCTGTCTCCAATGAGCCTGTCCCATTCCTGCCCTTGGGCTCTGTGGGTTCTGCTCCCTGCTCCCTCTCTCTGCCATCCTCCCTTCTCCGTATCAGTTCCCTCGCCTTGTCTGCCTCCTGAGTTCCACAGCAGACACCTAAAGGACCTGAATGTGGGCTGTGCTTATACAGACTTTGTGGTCAAGAGTCGCTGATTGGGCCAGGAGTGGTGGCACACACTGTGAGCTCAGCATTCTGGAAGGCTGAGGCAGGAGGATGAGTTTGAGCCCAGCCTAGGCAGCTCAATGATTTACAGAGACCTGGTCTCAAAATAAAAAATAGATTGTAGATGAGGACATAGCTATGTAGCTCAGCACAAAAGCCCTAGGTTTAGTCCCCACCGACTCACACACATACATGGGAGAGCACACATGCACATACACGCACACACAGGAAAAGCGTGGTTGGTAAGTACTGTGCATTTAACTACTGAATGAATGCATGCATATGAAGAATGGATGGGTACGAGAAAACACAAGTGGTTGGACACACACAACACAGTGCCCAAGGAGAGTGACACGTGACAATGGGGGCAGGAGGGGCTGCAATTCCTTGAGCAAGGAGAAAAATCCAGCAGAAACAGTGGGGAGCCCACGAAGGACAGATTAGGTCAGTCTGGGGACACGTCCTTGAACCTTGGCCATCGGGCTGCGAAGCTGAGACCACAGAGGGGAGAAGTCCCCAGTGCCCTCTGCCCCACTCCTGGTGGCAGCTGTCTGCTCCCCATGATTCCTCCCATCGAAGGTCACTTTTCAAACTGGGATGAGGGGAAATTTATTGGGTGAGAAATAATTTCGTCAGGGATATTTTGGGCTGCATTCAGAACTTGGCCCAGGCCTAGTTCCTACAATATCTTCCTTGCATTGTAAATTTTGTCTGTTTGCAGCTGAGCTGACAGCAAGACTGTCCAAAGAATTTGGTCCTTAAAAATTATTGCAAAAGCAAAGAAAAAATTTTTTTAATGAGCCTCTAGCAAGAGTTTAAATTGTGGAAGATTATAAGCAGTAAGTCAAAAGTACTTAAAAAAAAAAAAGTTAACAACAGCAAAGAGAGCCAGGCTTGGTGGTGCATTGCCTGTCATCCCAGCCCTTGGGAGGCTGAGGCAAGAGGATCCTTGCAAGTTCAAGAC